CATGGCCTCGTGAGAATTTTGGTGGGTAAACTATTAACTCGGGAATCACGGAAAGATATTCACCCCTCAAGGTTCCGAATTCAACTTTCGTGCGCTGGTGCGTGAAATTTTTAATTATTGTCCAATGTTTGAACTATTTTTGCATAGACAAAAGTACAGAGCAGTGCAATTCACTAATAGGCAATCGTTCGATGGGTTGAATTGCACAAAACGCATGATCGCATCGGCTACTCTGGTGCGCGTTGATATTTATTTTTAAATTGAAAAAACATAAGTGTATTGGTGTGAAATGCTTCTTCAGGAGCAAGCAGTGCCAGAGTGTTGTATTGGTTGAAGGAAGTGCAGTGAGCTGGGATGGGTGAATTACTCGATTTACCCAACGAAGTGATTTTGATCATATTCAGCTTCATACCGAGCCGAGATTTGTGGCAGAATGTTCGTGCAACGTGTCGACATCTCTCACGGCTCCTCGCCGACCAGAAGTATTGGAAGTTTAAATTGCAGGTTCGTTGATATAAATGCATGCAATAGCACAAAGCTTCAGCGTATAATTATGGTGGCGCGGAGTTGCTAGGGTACAAAATCCCAGTTCCGTCATGGGAAATACTGTAAGGGAATCAGCCAAAAAATGCAGCATTTAGTCAGAACAGCACAAAAGGCAAAAAAATCAATTTAAAACCAACTTGAAATGCACCATGCTTGCCAGTGCGATCATGTGTTTTTGCACCATACTCGAAGTAATCAGGTCGTTAACTGCATGAACGGTTGTTGCTTTACACATACTTTGTGCGCTTACTGGCGTAATCACCGTAAATTTTAGACAGAGAAAATGAACAATTTCCGTCTAACAGTCGTTCGTTGAAAGTGACTTGACCTTTCAGTCAGCAGTTTCCCCGCCAAAACTTTAACTGCTTCTACGTGAGAACTGCGCATACCTGAAGGCTGAATTCTAAATCTTTAAGTTGTACTTGGAAAGTGAACATTCTGCTAAAATTTCAGCCTCCCAGCTTTTCTGGTTGTCGAGTTAACAAATTTCCTGCCAAAACATCTACGTACGCGTAGGTGAGGACCACGCATCCCTGTGGGCTAAATTTTAAATGTTTAGCGCGCACATGCACAGAGAGTGTCCCTGCAAGGCTTTAGCCCCCTACCTTGCCCGGCTGTCGAAATCGCTTGCCTGTCAAAAAATTCGCATATTTTTAAAGGCGCCTGTACACCATACCCAGACGTACGCAGATGATAATACTAGGACCTGAAGGCGGCACAAGTGATAGGCACATACTCCCAAAGTTTCAGCTTTCTAGCTTTTCTGGTTCTCGAGTTGAAAATGGGTGACAGAAAGTGTGGGCACACAGACACGCACACACAGCCTGCTACCAGTATGTGTTTTTTGCATTTGCACATATGCAAAAATGCATAAAGACGGCGAAGCGTGAACTCTTAGATTCAAAAATGCTAAAATGTTAAATAAAACTGTACTTAGGTAAATATAGGTGAAGTGACATGAAGGATATTTTACATTTTAAAAGGAATGGGTTGCAGTTTTAAGTAGGGGAGAGGTGTGGGACGTGGGTGAGTAAGGAGTTGGGCCGAAGGCTACGAAAGATTTTCCAAAAAAAAGTGTTGAAACTGAAGTGCCATTTCTTTTCTGCGAGCCTTGTGTCTTCACTGACTTGTTGTTGGATTCTTTGAAATATTCGGTATTTTTCATAATTTTAGTTGGCCAGGAAACTTGGCAAACGTCAGGTAATTTCCGTGCCTGCAGATCTTTACCCTTCCATGAGAACGTGAACGGAACAGTCCAGACTGTGACAGCTTTTTGTATGTTTTGAAAAACAAGTCAAAATTTAGTTCCCTACAGTTGATTTGCAGTAGTTGTGGAGCATGGCGCTGAGTAGCATGTAGCTCTGTTTTCGTGCCGATTGTCGAAAATTCGGCGCTGCCATTGTGACAACCAGTTCCTCTCCGATTCATTTATTTGTTTCGATAGTAATAGAAATTACATGCTGTGTAGTCAGAACGCCATCAGCTTCATTTTTAGTACCGTCGAATTAGGTAGCCAGCAGTGAGGGTCCACTTCGTGGCATTGAAGCAGATGAAAATTGAATAATTCTTTGGCAGTCAGTTCTAAATAGAGGTCCTCTGGGCAACCGATGTGAGTTTCTCAGATTTTAGTAGTGTTGCTGAATGATCTCACACATCGGATGATGCTTCAGTATGGAACAAAGTTGTCTTTTCATCCTTCTGGGTTACGATTTGTTCGGTCCTTCACCGTGTTTCACGCGCACCACAAACATCGCATCATATTCTATCAATTTTTTGGAGAAATTGATTCGTGAGTTCGTCCCTCATAACGTAACGACTTAAATACTGAGACGTCCAGACTGTTCTCTGACGAAGTCCATCTAAAACCTGAGCCTTTGCTCCCCGAATTTGTGTTCATTCATTTTGTTCCCCATAATGCATTATATAACATGCATTTGGCTTCTTGCGTGCATAGCTGCTTGACAGTTACCAAGTTACTAACCACTGGTCAAGCTGATATGATTTTGTACCACTCAGGCCTAGCTAAAGTGCGTCAAGCAATCCTCAACATACTTCAAGCTGGCAGGTCTTCTTACCCCTCCTCCCCTGTGCCCGTCGCTGTCTAAACCGTTGCCATTTGCATGTCACAGCAAGTTATGTTGGGTTAGTTTTTACTGGCGAATTCATATCGTAGAGCGAGTGACATAAAACCGAAAATAAATAGCGGCGCGCACCAGGGCAGTCAGTGAGATCATGCGTTTTGTGCAATTCCGTCCACCGAACGATTACCTGCTAATGATTTTCAATGCTTTGCGCTTTGTTCTGTGCAAAAATAACAGAAATGTTGTCTAGTTCTTAAGTTGCGGATTTTCCCACTAAAATTTTCATGCACACGAGATAATCCTGTACCAAAACTTTCACGGATTTGCACGTGGTACCCAGAGGTGCGTGAAAGCTGGATCCAGGTCTGCGAGGTCGTACGTGTAATGGAGATCATCCTAAAATTTCAGATTCTCAACTTCCGCGGTTCCCGAGATAATAATTTTCCCCGTAGAAATTTTCATGGCGCCGTAAGTGATACTCGGACGCGCGGGAAGGCCGAATTTTAAATTGCAGGATTGTATGTGGACAAAAGACGTTACCGTAGAATTTTGACTTCCTAGCTTTTATGGTTACCGAAATGATAATTTTCCGTCCCCTCCCCCCGCCCTCCCCCCGAAATTTCACGGGGCGTAGGTGGGCAAGGGGCCATTACTGTAAAATTTCAGATTCTTAGATTTCGTGGTCCCCGAGATAATAATTTACTCGCCAGAATTCTCACAGGGCCGCTCGCGTTACCCGCGGGCAGGGGAAGGCTGAATTTAAATTTTCTGGGTCGCATGCGGGCAGGGGACATGCTCACAAAATTTCAGCTTTCTAGCTTCCGTGGTTCCCGCGATAATAATTTTACCCGCATAAACTTTTACGGGGCCGTACGTGTTACCCTCGGTTACGAAGAGGCTGAGTTTAAATTTGCGAGATCACATGTGGGTGGGGAATGTTACCGTAAATTTTTAGCTTCCTTGCTTTTGTGGTTCCCCAGTTGAAAGTTGCGGACAAGTTGCTGCGGACACACACACGCACACACACAGACAACTCCTTGACAATATGCGTTTTGTACTGCTATTACACAGCACAAAACGCAGAAAAAAAGGATTTAAATAGGCAAAGAGCTTTTGATCTCATTGCTGAACCTGCTGTTATCAGTCTGTATTTTTCAGAGAGTGCATTCAGTGCACTTATCGGAGTATGATTTAAGCGCTTCGGCGTCATTTTTATCGTTTTACTGCACAAAAGTGGAGGAAGAGAGGGAACGATGGAGCGACAATAGGTATACATGTTTCATAATGTTTGGAAATGCCTTCGCACTTTTTCTTGGTAGTCTCTGTGAGTGATTTGTGTTGCTGGAATGCTTTCACACATCGAACACAATTCTCCCTGCTTCTTTGGTCTAGAGCTGCTGACCTACGGCTTAATACCTGTTGCTTGTTCGATCTGTTTAATTCTTCGGCATCCTCTCTGTTGGATGTTTAATTTTCCACGGTTACCAGTCACTGATGCGCGACATCTACCGGTCATCAATAGTGCAATCAGTTTGTCTTATTCAAGTATGCCGGCACTTCGCATCAGCTTTACGTTGGTTTTCAGACTCGCTTTTCTTAGCGTTGAGCTTCTGAACCATCTCACTAATCTCTCCAGTACTGCTCGAGAGGTGTAAGTGGTTCAGCTGCTCGTCCGTGATGTTTGTTCTCCTCTTTTTCAGTACAGCTTACAAAAAAAAAAAAACTTAAAATGCCGCTTGATATTTCCTGATCGATTTTGCGTTTACTACATTTCTTTCGAAGCCGAATTTCTACCCGCATTATGCGGTAGCGGCGTCCTGTACTGGAGCGAGCAAACATGTTCCCGGGAATGAGCAGCAGAATTTGTTTCATTTTCCACTTTGCATTTGGCCCGTTTCGGTTCTCTATCTTCCAGGCATCTTGCCATTGCCATACCAACCGACAGAAGTAGGCCTAAAGCTGTCTCTACACAAAAAACACAGAAAAAAAATCCGTCCTCCTCTTCTTGCCCATTTGCATTGAAATTCTCTATACAGTCCTGCATATAATAAACTTGATAATTCGTGCTCAACATCGAGCCCTTCAGCCTCGTCGTCGTCACTGGTCATGTTGAAAGCATAAACATGTTTTTTTTGAGAGTTTTGCTAGCGTCTGGCCTAATTTGAGGATTTTTTGCAAGTGTATGCCAATTGTAGTGGAACTGACAGGAGATGATTTGCGAAGACCACCTTCTGCCAACGATAAGCCCTACTCTGTCTTTTTTCCATTTTTGTTAGCCTATATCGAGCAAAATTGGTTTAGGTTACTGTGCACTCTGTGTTTCGCGGTGCCATACACATAGCGAGAATGGAAGAAAATTTTCTGTCGGCTTTTTGATGAATGTAGTTTGCATATCGAGAGGTCCTGTTCCTTTTGTATAGTCTTCCGTTATTCTCTTAGTTTGGTAGTCTCCTATACTCTGATTGCCTGTTTGGCTTCGTAGATTGGACAGAAGAGTGAGTAAAGTACTGTACTAAGTCCAGTATTTTAGCTGATTCATTTCATGCCTTCCCTAATGCGTCGTACAGTATACATTTTACGTCTGTGCCCAGCTCCATGATGTTTGTCGGACTGTAATCCGCTGCTCAGCCTGATCCTTATCGCTCAAGTTTAGTCGGATAGGCTGTGGTACAGCTTTTTTTCGACATATTGCGATTCGCCTTGGCTGTCATCCCATTGCTCTTCGATTGACTGATAGCAGTTTGCCGATTACACTTACTGGCTGTTGAGGACCATGATGGTTCACTCTTGCAAGAGGATTCTGTTTTCTGGGCAGGCTGCAGCACCAGCTTGCTACCGACGCAAATTTAGGAGGAATTGATATCTCCTGCTGTTGGATACGAACCACTGGCTTGGGTCTCAGAGTAAATGCTACATTCCATTATCACACATTTGACGGCTTGGCTGGATGTATTGTCCAAGAAATGCGTGAGATATGCGGGGCAGTGTGGTTTGCGTCTGTTTTCGAGTGAGTCTCTGTTGCGTCGTTTGAGTTTAAAGAAGATGTTGTAGCTTACATCGATTTGTCATTACAACAGGACATGACGGTTCAGTAGATGCGGTAGCGTTGATGCAATCTTCTTCTCATAAGCGACTATGTATCTCCGGTGCCAGAGATCGTGCTTTAGTTGTTTGGGATATAGATGTTATGGAGGTAAGTGCTTATTATTCACTCCTCTTTTTCCCAATCACACTTCAATCCATAGTTTGCCAACCTACTTCTTACAGAGCTTATAAAATCAAGATTTATGCATTTTGGGAGCGAACG